CTTGGGTACGCTGTCCTCTTGCGGGGTTTTCTTTTTCTTTTTGTTTATCTACCTGGTGGGGGGGTCTGCCTTCGTTCTTGCCCCTTGTGTCCCTTGTGTTCTGAGTATTTTCTGGTGGTACCCCCTGCTAGGTCCCCGTGAGTGTACACGTCCCGGGGGTTCAGCTCTTAGAAAGTTGTTTGGTAGCTTTGGGTGCCGGTTAGCAGTACCCTGCCTGGGATTACCTGAGCGCGAGTCCTCTTAAAGTAAACGCTCGGGACCCTGGGAAACCCCTGGGGGCGCGCGGGTCCGATGGATGTGACCCCAGAGTCCCCCCCCCTCGCTTCCAGCGAGTTTGAGGGTTGCTCTCACCTTTTGTCTCTGGGTGACTCTGTTTTGCCTCCGTCTGCTGCCTGTGGGTCGGTGACACCTTCGACCCGGAGTCCTGCGAGTTTGGTTGCTCGTTGTGGCTCGGTTACCCAGTTGTGCTAACAAAGCGGGTGCGGGCAGCAGGGGCGTTGCACTTGAGCCTTGGTGGTGGCAACGTTCTCGTGGTTTCATCCCCGGGAGCCCCGGGGCTGCCCCGTGGTAGTTCGTTTTGGGACTTGGGGGTGATGGTTGCTTCGGTTCCATCCACGCCCCCTTGTCTTTCCCCTGGTTCACCCTTCCTGCCTGCATCCAGTTCCTTACCGTCTGTAGGTTCGGGGCGGGGTTTTTGGTGGTGTTGAGACTCGGGCAGTCTCGGGGAATTCCCCTTCCGGGGTAGTGACGGGGGCATTTGGGCCTGTTCCTCCAGCCGTGTTGTATGAGTCTGCCAGTGGGCTCCCTTCCTTAGTGTTTTCACGGCTGCCCCGGTTTTCTGGTACGGCCGGGGCTTTGGGGGAACGGCTCGGCCCCGGGGCCTGTCGTGTAGGTTCCTGGGGCTGGGGAGGGGCTGACTTTGGGGGGCCTTGGCCCCGTTAGACCCCGGGGTTTTTTTTTATCCCCCTCTAGGCGGGGCTTGTGGTTACGCGGAGTGGGGTCTTTCCTCCCCACTCGCCGTACGTGCTGTTGGACGTCGGCCCCTCCCCGGGCTTGGTTCCTTGGCCTTTGAGTCGGTTGGTTCCGTCCTGTGGGTGGATGTTTCCTCCCCCCCTTTTTGGGACGGTGTTTTTGTCATTTTTCCCCATTCGATGGGGTTCTGCGTGACTTCTGATCTCGGGTGCGCCTGCGCCTTCGTGTGCCTTCGGGACTAGTGTTGGCTTCTGTGTTCTCGAGGGTACGGGAAGGTTTTTCGCTACTTCCCGCATTATTGGAACGTCTGTCGGCTCCTCGTACTTGTCGCTCTGTTGGGCTTCTTGTCGCCCGGTTGGGCTACTTGTTGCCCGGTTGGGCTACTTGTTGCCCGGTTGGGCTACTTGTCGCCCGGTTGGGTTTCTTTTTGGGCTCTTTGCTTCTTTGGCCGGTTTTATTGTTCCTGCTTCCTCTTTTGGCTACTTTTCTCGTGCAGTAGTCCTGGCTGGCGCCTTCCCGCAGGGAGGGTGTGCGGTTCGGCCAGCGTGTTATGCGCGTGCGCCGTGGAGTTTGTTTTGGTCTGGGCGGTGTTTCAGTGCTGGGGTTTTGCGCCCTTTTTTGCTACAGTGCTTCGCTTCTCATTCTTCTCCCTGGCTGCGGTATGTGCCCCTTCGTGCCGGGGGTGTCCTGGTTCCCAGTTGTGGGGAGGACACCGCTGTTTTCCCTGTGTCATGGGTGTGGACCGCCTCCTTCGCCTCTCCCTGTTCTCCTGCGGGTCCGGCAGGGTCCGGCTCTGGCGTCTTCACCTGGCGGTGCTCCCAAGTTCTTCTGGGCACGGTTGAGTCGTGTCAAGTTCGTGCCACCATTCGCCAGGTGAGTTTCTGCGGTCTGGCGTCTTTTGGCCGGGCGCTGGATGCGGCGGTGTTTATATACCTGTCTTTATTTAGGTATATTTTTGTACGACTGAGACCGTTCGCACACCAGTGACTGTCCCTTTATCACCCCTTCCTGTCCCCCTCATGTGCATGTCCAACCCATGCTGGAGTCATTCAGGGGACCCTCCTTTTTTTTTAATGTTGTGAGGTGTGGGGGTTGTAGGGTTGGTTCTGTACTCACCTGGTGAGACTCCTGGCTGTGCTTGCAGGATTTGAGCTCTGGCTCTTGGGTCCCGCCTATCTGGTAGAACTTGCGGGATAGTACCAGTGGAGTGCAGTGGTGCTATTGGCACTTTTGGGGAACACTGTATTACCATCAGTGGTCTGTGCTTGTTACACGACCTACTTGCGAGCATAAGCCTTCTTGCTGGTTCGTCCGTGGACTTCCAGGGCACACTGGCCTGTTTTCGTATGGCAGTTCCGGCCCGTCCTGGTTGTGGGGGTATGTGGGCCGGTGGACTGCTCCTAGCAGCTGCCTGGTGGGCCATCCTCTGGCCGGTCTGGCCTGACCTTGGGCCGGGCTTCAGGTGTAAAAGAGCTCCCAGTACCTCATCCAGCAGGTATCGAGCGGGGTTTCTCCGCCGTCGGTCGCCTGGTGCAGGTTTCTGGGCCTGCAGGGTTTTGCCGTGTCTCCGTTGGCCCTGTCTGGGGCCTGCCTGCTCCGTTCTCTCCTTTGCAGAGGGGAGTTGCTATTTACATGTTGCATGTTGCAGTGGTGCCTGTTGCTGCTGCTGCACGTGTGCATTGGTATCGTGTTTCACGGTGGCGTGTCCTTGTTCCTGTGTCCGGTTGTGGAGTGGCACTTTGCTGCTGTTTTGTGCCTGGGGATTGCGTGGGGTTTTTGTCCCTGCCTGATTGTCCACCCCTGGTTGTTCTCCTGGGGTTTTTTGTGCTTCTGCTCTTTCTTCCTGCCTCCTCTGCAGCAGGGATGTTCTGCGTGTGTTCTTAGGCGTTGGTCAGCCTGTGTCCTGTGATGTGCTTCTTTGTCTCGGTCTATTGCAGTTGTTCGTGCCCCTTGGTTCGGGTCCTGTTCTGGCGGCGACCCTTCCGCCTTCTTTGGTTTTCCTAGCTTGCCCTGCCGGTTGTTGTTTTTTTTTTGGGGGGGGGGGGGGGTTTCTTGCGATGTCTCGCGTCGGACCCGTCGTTTCTGAACTCCTGGCGGGCTTGCATGCTTTGGGGAGTTTTTCTGTTCGGCAGACGTTCCATCTCCTTGTGCCGCCTGGGTTTCGGTGGTTGGCCCCGAGATCTTCTCGCGGCTCCGCCTTTTTCCTGGGCTCGGGGGGGCCTTGTCGGGGCTGCTTATGTTCTGCCTCGTGGTCTCGCCTCCGGTTGGTGGTCGGGTGGCTTCGTGGTAGGTGTCCCACCTGCGTGCTTCTCTTGGCGGCAGTATGGGTATTTTGGCGGTCCTTCCTTTTCCTGTCCCTTCTTAGGTGGTTACTCTTGTTAGCTTGGTTTACTCTCGGCTTGGTTTTCTAGTGGGGGTTGGGGGCCGTCGTCTTGCCACATACTGTCGCCTCTTTTCGTGCGGCGCAGGCGGAGCCGCTTCAGCTTGCTTTCGGTCTTGGTGTTGCTTCTGCACCGTTAGTCAGCTGTCTTGTGCGTCGTTTCACCTCCGGCCTGTTCGTGCGCCGCTTGCACCATCCTGGTCTCTGGTCAGCGTGCTCTATCTTCTCGGTTGGTAGTGCCCCTTCGGTTCCGGTGTGTTTTTTCGTCGGCTCTTTCCTTTGGGCCTTTCCCTCTGGGGGTCGGTTCGCTGAGTTTTCTTGCTCCTTCGGTTTTAGCGTTTTGGTTGTTTGATGGCAGCAGTCTCCATCTTTTCTGGCGCGGGGTGGGCCTGCTGCATTCTGGAGGGGTCCAGGGTTTGTTGGTTCTTCGTTGGTCGGGCCGGGGGGTGTCGTTTTTGTGTTCAGTAGCGGCCCTCCGCTGTTGTTTGCGTGCCACGGCGTTTGGGTCCGGAGCGCGTTTTGCGTTGATCTGGTTCTGTTCTTCCCGGTTCGCGGGTGATGGTGTCCCGGGTGGTCAGCCGTGTTCTTGCGGCTAAGCTGCCTGTGTTCTTCCCTCATGCCTGTGGCGTTCGTGGCTTCGCTGCTCTCGCTGCCGTCTGGGCGACGTGGCGTTGCAGTCTTTCGGGCATGGGTTTTTGGTGTTCGTGCAGGGGCCTTGCTGCTCATGGTTCTCGTGTTGTTCCCGGGATTTTCGGGGCTGTGGCGCCTTGGGTTGGCGTTTGCTGCCGGTTGTCTCGCCTCCTTGGGGGGTGCGTGGTGTCCGCCTCCCGGTTTTGTCCCTTTGACCTTCCTCTGTGGGTAGTTAGCTCCGGGGAGCCGAAGGGGCTCCCCCCAGAAAACTAGCGTTGAATGTAATGAAACGCCATTTTCTGGGTGAGACCCGGAGGCTCCCCGGCAACCCTCCCTCCCTCCGGTCGGCGTTTTTCGCGTGTTTTGACATCCAGCCTCAGAACTGATGGGTGCATAGCCGGCGTGGGAGGTCTGGGGCTCCCCCTTCCCCCTCCCGGGGAGGGGGGAGCTGCGCAGACAGCGGCGCGGTGACGTATGACGTCATACTAGTTTCCTTGTTTTCTGTTGAAGAGTTCTATCCACTAGTTCGGCTTAGGTAGCAATTTTCACCAGAATAGGGGTTTGTTTTGGAATGCTTACCTTTCTGGATGCTTGACCCGGTCGATGGCAGACATAGAATGCTTCCAACCACACGGGGGTTTCTATAGGCCATTGCTCCCCTTGCCTCTCTGAGGGGGCCAGGTTCTGGCTCGTGGTCCCCGGTAGGCCCTAGAACTCCATACACATGACTGATGCCAAAGTCTGACATTAGCATATCAGCCGGTAAAGCTCCGGGGAGCCTCCGGGTCTCACCCAGAAAATGGCGTTTCATTACATTCAACGCTGGTTTTTTAAAAATGTTGAATCAAATGAGAAGCCATTACCAGATCTAGCCTACTTTTTTGTAAACATATACTGTATTGAAAACTAAATGAGCCTTGTCTAGTGCTTTACACTAGAATATAAGCGCAACTAAGAATTCTTAAGTACTGAGTGTTTCCAGTATGCCCACAGAAACCAACAATAATTTCTGTTGCAGAATACACAGGAGAGCCTAACAAAAGTGTTGAAATTGTTCGAACATGCAGAGGAGTATGGTATGTTTATCAACCGCCGCCTCATCATATTCGCAGCAGCACTCGCCCTCAAGCAAAACCATCCTCATATTGCCTTGGAATTGTTATCAAAATCAACTGTTACTCATATATCAGTTTGCTCTATAAAAGTAAGTTGTGCTATAATTGGGCTGCATGATTACTTTGCAGAAGCTGTTATTTTAGACTTATTCACACAATGAATTCTAAATACAATACTGTACCAATGTCTGATGTCCTTTTTTTTCCTGAGAAACCTCTCAAAGCCCTCTCTGTCATAATCTGTATTGTGGTATAGTGACAACTTAAATTATGATTACGCCTACCTACGAATTTTTCAAGTTATGATGTAAATTTCGTCGGAAAATGCGACTTGACTTACGACTGTGTCATCGACTAACGTCATTTGTTGAGACCGAGTGTGTGTTCCTGGTGGCACAGCCGACCCAGCCTCAGCTTACCAGAGCCTCCTGCTTAGTGACAATCTCCCTTGTAAAGAATTTCAGTATTTTTGTGCTTTTCTGTGGAGAGCCACCTTGGCTCCCCGGAGCTATACCGGACTGATGTGTATATATTACACCGTGACAACAGTCAATCAAAGGAGTTCTAAGCCTACCAGGGACCAGAGCCAGAACCTGGCCCCCCTCAAGAGAGGCACGAGGAGCAATGGCCTAAAGACACCCCTCGTGTAATTGGAAGCAGTCTTTGTCAGTCAATCGAAGGAGTTCAAAGCCTACCGGGGACCAGAGCCAGAACCTGGGCCCCCTCAAGAGAGGCACGAGGAGCAATGACCTAAAGACACCCCTCGTGTAATTGGAAGCAGTCTTTGTCTGCCATCTACCAGGTCAGGCACCCAGAAAGGTAGGAATTTCAAAACAAACTACAGTACTGCTGGCCTAAAAATTGCAAACCGAATGCCGAAAAAGTAAACAGAACTCCCCAATCAAAAAAAGGGAGACAAACATGACGTCACCACAACCGCCGTGCATCCGTCTGCGCAACCCGCTCCTCCCCAGGAGGGGGGACAAGGAGGTCCCAGACTTCCACTCCGGCAACTCTCACCAGTTCAAAGGCTGTTGTGATAGTGAACGGTCGATCGCTCTGGCTCCACTCTTTGCAGTGCTGCAGTGCGGTTTTGTTGTTCTGTATTGGTGGTGTGAGAGCCAGGAGTAACACAAGAGTACTGGTGCTGCATGCACCTAGGGCTACCGTCCCTAGGCGCCTCGTAAGTACTTCCTTTGTGGCTTCAGGGTTATCTTCCATGAGCCGTTCAGGAGCAGCTACCTCCATGTGGTTCTGTCGCTGCTCGGTGACTGCCTGCCCTTGGGGGTTCAGCTGGGGAGGTTCTTACTCCTGTTTGTCCTTGGGTAGGAGGTAGTTTCGTCGCTGACTGGGGCGCGAGGTACTGTGCTGCTGCCTGATATACGCATAGCGACCGGTTCTGTTCACCTCGAGACGTTGTGCTTTTGCGGGGTTTTTTTGCGGCTGGCACCACCTTCGGAACCATCTTCATATGGTCGGCTTGGTGTTCGTGGTGCGAAGCTCGGGTTCTCATAAGGGAACGCAGGTGGACATGGTGGATAAGGTGGGAGGCCAGGTGAGAATGCCCCTTCATAAAGTGATGTTGGACTCTGATTATGGCTACAAGACCCTAATGGTAGAGGTTTGTGCCTCACTACTGAGGATGGAAGCTCAAGTGATCTTGGGGAACGACTATTGTGGGGGGGGGTTGTTCATCATCAAGAGTGAAGAGTGCTTGGAGCCCTATAGACGTAGTGGTTAATTGGCAAATACAGAGGGAGATGCAACGGGGATCGAGAGGGTGGCGTTCGCTGTGTGTTTGTCGTTATTGTGGGATGGGGCGTTGAGGACGAATCGAGTGGGTCTCGTCAACAGGAGGGAATATGCCAGTTGACCTGGGCCTCGATTGTCTGTTCGAGGAGGAAACCAGACAACTGAAGGTGTTGGGGAGAGAGGGCCCGGAACAAGGTATCCAGGTGACCCTCATCAATTCTCTCAAAGTGGATCGCACTCAGTTGAGTGAACTGCAGAGTGAGAGAGTTTCCTGAGTTGGTACGAGAGGCCAAAGGGGGGCCCTCGCTGGACCCGAGTCTGATGTACAGTACAGTACTTCTATTTGTACGAAGGAATGCTTATAAGGCATTGGAGACCAGTACATATGGAGATGGATGATGAGTTAGGAGTAAGACACCAAGTGGTGTTGCCATCAAGTTACAGGCATACAGTTATCTTGAGGTTATCTTGAGATGATTTCGGGGCTTTTTTTAGTGTCCCCGCAGCCCAGTCCTCGACCAGGCCTCCACCCCCAGGAAGCAGCCCGTGACAGCTGACTAACACCCAGGTACCTATTTTACTGCTAGGTAACAGGGGCATAGGGTGAAAGAAACTCTGCTCATTGTTTCTCGCCGGCACCTGGGATCGAACCCAGGACCACTGGATCACAAGTCCAGTGTGCTGTCTGCTCGGCCGACCGGCTCCCCCGGCAGTGCTCAAACTTGTGCACTTGGTGCACACCGCAGGTCACCAAGGGGGGAACCAAGACTCTTAACCAGATCAGGGATCATTTCTGTTGGCTGGGAATGGATGCAGATGCGAGGCATTATTGCAAGACGTGTTTTCCTTCTCAGAGAGCAGGAAAAAACGTTCCGGCTATACCCAAGGCTCCTCTGGTTCCTGTCCCCACTTTCAGACAAGCGTTCAAGCATCTGCTCATAGACGATGTAGACCCTTGCCCCCAGATGTAAAGTACCAGTAGCGAGAGCACTCAGCGTAATATGGAGAAAGAGCCTGGATACAGGGGAGATACCAGCAGCACTTAAATCTGCAGATATAGCTCCGTTGCACAAGGGGGGGAGTAAAGCCTTGGTAAAAAATTATAGGCCAGTTGCACTAACATCACACATAATAAAAGCGTTTGAAAGAGTGATTGGGAATCAAATTTCTAGTTTTATGGAAAACAATGAATTGCACAACCCAGGACAACATGGATTTAGAGCGGGAAGATCCTGTCTGTCACACTTACTCAACCACTATGACAAAATCACAGAAGCCCTAGAAGAAAAGCAAAATGCAGATGTTGTATACACAGACTTTGCAAAGGTGTTCGCCAAATGTGACCATGGGGTGATAGCTCACAAAATGAGGTCAATGGGAATAACTGGAAAAGTAGGACGCTGGATACTCAATTTCCTGTCGAACAGAACACAAAGAGAAACAGTCAATCAAATAAAATCAAGTCCAAGCGATGTTAAAAGCTCTGTACCTCAAGGTACAGTCCTTGCACTGCTACTGTTCCTTATTCTCATATCAGATATGGACAAAAATACACGTCACAGCTTCGTGTCGTCCTTTGCAGATGACACAAAAATCAGCATGAAAATTACCTCTGCTGAAGACATTGAAAAACTACAAGCAGATGTCAACAAAGTTTTCGATTTGGCAGCAGTAAATAACATGATGTTTAACAGTGATAAATTTCAGGTACTCAGGTACGGCAAAAATGAGGATCTGAAACATAATACAGGGTACAAAACACAATCGAATCTTCCCATAGTAGAAAAATAGCATGTCAAGGATTTGGGAATAACGATGTCCGACGATCTAACGTTTAGGGAGCATAACCAAGCAAATATTGCGTCAGCCAGAAAAATAGTCGGATGGATTACGAGAACTTTCAAATCCAGGGATCCCATCACAATGGTTGTACTCTTCAAGTCACTTGTGTTGTCCCGTCTCGAGTACTGCTCAGTACTCACTCTCCCCTTCAGAGCAGGAGAGAATGCTGAAATAGAGGGAATACAGAGAACATATACTGCACGCATAGACGAGATAAAACACCTAAATTATTGGGATCATCTCAAAGCTCTCCAAATGTACTCTCTAGAAAGGAGACGAGAGAGATACCAAATAATATACACATGGAAAATACTGGAGGGCCAGGTCCCGAATCTACAAAGTAAAATAACAACGTACTGGAGTGAACGATATGGAAGAAAATGCAAGATTGAACCAGTGAAGAGCAGAGGTGCCATAGGCACAATCAGAGAGCACTGTATAAACATCAGAGGTCCGCGGTTGTTCAACGTCCTCCCAGCGACTATAAGAAATATTGCCGGAACAGCCGTGGACATCTTCAAGAGAAAACTGGACTGTTTTCTAAGAGAAGTTCTGGATCAGCCGGGCTGTGGTGGGTATGTAGCCCTGTGGGCCGCTCCAAGCAACAGCCTGGTGGACCAAACTCTCACAAGTCGAGCCTGGCCTCGGGCCGGGCTTGGGGAATAGAAGAACTCCCAGAACCCCATCAAGCAGGATGAAGAAGTGAAACAACTACCTATTAATGATCATGTGCGCTTCTACTAGATTTCCTGAAGCTATTTTGGTGCACCAGTTAACATCAAAAGGAATTCTGAGACACCTGCAGCAGTTTTTCTCTTGGGGTAGGAATTCCCAAGTAGATTTTTGTGTGTGCAGTGCAGGGGTTAAAGATTTTTCTTTGTTTTTTCTGTTCTTCCCAGTCACATGTTTGTATTTACTTTGCTTTGCCGTACAATACTTTAGAACACTGTGTGTATTAATGCGGACTTAGATGGGTGTGATGTAACCTTGTGTTTATATTTTTTGCACCTCTGAAATTTTATTTTACAAACTTTTCTGGGGGGAGCCCCGTCGGCTCCCAGGAGCTTTACCGGCTGATATGCTAATGTCAGACTTTGGCATCAGTCATGTGTATGGAGTTCTAGGGCCTACCGGGGACCACGGCCAGAACCTGGCCCCCTCAGAGAGGCAAGGGGAGCAATGGCCTATAGAAACCCCCGTGTGGTTGGAAGCATTCTATGTCTGCCATCGACCGGGTCAAGCATCCAGAAAGGTAAGCATTCCAAAACAAACCCCTATTCTGGTGAAAATTGCTACCTAAAGCCGAACTAGTGGATAGAACTCTTCAACAGAAAACAAGGAAACTAGTATGACGTCATACGTCACCGCGCCGCTGTCTGCGCAGCTCCCCCCTCCCTGGGAGGGGGGAAGGGGGAGCCCCAGACCTCCCACGCCGGCTATCCACCCACCAGCTCTTCGGCTGATGCTATAGGCAACGGTTATGTGCTCCGGCTCC